GTTCGTCATATCGTGCGTTCGTCATATCGTGCGTTCGTCATATCGTGCGTTCGTCATATCGTGCGTTCGTCATATCGTGCGTTCGTCATATCGTGTGTTCATCAGACCGTGAGTTTAAATGGTGTGTTCAGATACTGCTTTGATCTCCTTCTTTGAGATACTTCTGCCGCTAACAAGCCAGATGAAGAAGAGATTGTGTCATTATAGCGATAATGGTGGCAAGATCTTCGTGATGAAAAGGACTAAGAATACTTGCTGTACCGTGATGAAGGAAATGCTGGGGAGCTTGTGATCTTTCGAGAGGGGCTTCTATGCTCTAGCTTGACCGAAATTGGTGATTTCGAAATTCGAAGAGGTCCGTTGGAAGCTTACCGGTGCGATTGAAGCAGGAAGAAAATGAGGACTGAACAGCTGAGCAAGGTGAGTGTCGAACACCACAGCGAAATGAGTGTCGAACACCACAGCGAAATGAGTGTCAAACACCACAGCTCAAGCCAGTTGTTGCCTAATAAGGTCAGCTTCGCTCCATACGGGTAAGGGCAGCAAATACTAAAACGCCAAACGCCGAACACCAAACGCCAAATGCCAGACACGAAACAACAGGGAAACAACTGCTTCTCGTCAGTCTTGCTCCGCATTGTGACAAGTCACATACAACTATGCAGCAATTTTTTTGGATTTTGGATTTAAAATTTCTCTTAAAACTTTTCTGCCCGGAGGCACAACATCGTCGTCGTCGTCGTCGTCGTCGTCATCGTCGTCGAGGACGACGAACTTCCTCTTACGCCCAATGGGCGGCCGCGCAGCGGACTTTGCCTTCTTCGAAGGCTTCGTGGTGGCGAAGGGGGGGACGGCCCTTGCCGAGGGAGTCGAGGGAGCGAGGGAAGAGGAAGACGGCGCCTTCTTGGTGGTGGTGGTGGTGGCAGCGGAGGCGGAGGCGGGCGCAGGCAAAGGAGAGGTCTTCTCAACCGACGTAAAGTCGGCGAGCATGGGCCGCAGCCCAGCCGGTGTCGGCGAAGGCGGCCTGAGATCCCATTCTGGGATCCCAGCAGGCGGCAGGCATGGCGATCGAGGGGGGGCTGAGCATTCTAGCATGACTGTCATATGCAAAAGTGAGTATACTTACAAGGAATCTCTTCGACCCTCACTGGGTCGGGAAAAAAGTTCTCTTTTTCTGGCCCATTGGCCCCCCACCAGGCCACAACCTTGTCCACATAGTAGTTTCTGTACACAGTTAGCATATACTTCAGCCTTGAGTCTCCTGGACCGTTCAATACTGACTTTGTCGACATTTTGGCTGCTCACCGAGACCAGAAAGTGAAACAGAGTTGCGGGCCAGTATACCTATACAACTCGGTGACCCACCAAATAAGCTTAACTTTAACCTTGGTCGAGATTGGGTTTAGCACCAGGTTCAATGGCTTCAAGACGTCAACTTCGTGCGTCCTGAAAGCTTTCCATGAACTATCCATGCCGCTGAGATGCCCGAGCAAGGCATTGCGATTAGTCTGGTGATTCCACTTACCACTGGGTGCTGGATGCAACATGGTCCATCTCGCAGAAAGCATCCGGTATCTGCCCCGCAGTTGAAATCTTCCTCCATCTCCAAACCAATGCCATTTCGATCAGGCTCGAAGGCGTGCGAATGGTATTCTTCCAGACATGACGGAAAGCCGATTTCAGAGAAAAATATTGATCGTATTGTGTTTGAATGATTGATTGGAAGACTACCCATGTCTCGCCTCCTGCAAAGCCGTCGGCTTCAGAGTGGGAATCGATGTTCGGGACAGTGACCTTCGTCGGCCGAATGTACCCAGGATTCCACTTGCCCTTAGCCTGCTGATAGTCGAGCCCATGATAAGAGCCCACAGAGTCCTCTCGTTGCCTAGTTTTCTTCACAAAGTAGAATCGAGTTCCGAGGTTCGCATTGAATGATAATGCTGCATTGGATACTTACACATGTTCCTGGATGAAAGACACCATGATAAGGCCCTGTTATCTATGCCTGCAATTGGGCGTAAGTATAGCTTTGGAGAATAGAGAGCCCGTGGCAGCGATTTTGCTCGTATGTGGAGCATTCAGACAGCAAACGCACATGGGCGGCAGTGTGACTTCGACAAGGCGTGACAGTTATAACTAGGGCTATGGAGTCATGAGGCTTTGTCAAATCTTTCCGCGAGTCTCTCTTGCTGCATAATCACTTACCGCGGATATTTCGGCTATGAGACTGGATTCGTCGAAGTCATATGTCCTTGTCACCTTCATCAGGCTATCCCAGGGCTCGCCGTCGGTAGTGACAGTTAATGGAGTCATGAAAGGCATTGTATCCCAGGCCGCGACTCTTTCTCTCCATTGTCTTCACTAAACCCTGTCTGTCGAACAATGAAGTTCGTCGTAGTGACTGCCAACGATATCAGAAGAGTCATTCGCGTGACAATATACTTGATGCTATTCACCCTGGACCCAATTTCCTGTCACGCCGTGCGCAGATTCCTTGTTGTCACTCCCATTAATTTCATATTATCTGTTCTGTCACTTAGTGTGACTCATGGAGATCGAGAATCTCTCTTCGAATGCTCATCCTGGAATATAAGTATCTCCCTCTTCCTCTCAAGTTTTTCGGTTTCTCTTCCATCAAGCATTCAACTCATCCGCCATACTGTCATCGAAAGCATTGATCAGCAACACAACACAACACAACACAGCTAATTACTGCTCCTTATCCAAGTCCCAGCATCCTTGGCTTTTAAAATGTCCGCTGGAGGTGCTAAAGGGCCGCCCGGGCGGAGAGATAGTCAGTCGTCTCGTCCGCGCACGAATACCGAGTCAACACAGCAGCCCCAATCTCCATCGAACGTGTCAGTGCAACAACAATGGGCCAATATGTTTCAAAACTTTCCTATTGGTGCGGTATACCAATGCAAGACTCCGTGGAATTTCTCTTTCCCATCCGCTCCAAAGTTCACACTTGAGCGTGGCGTGAAAGGGAAAGTACTGGGCAGAAGAAAGATGCTTCCCGATGCTCAGAACCCAAATCCGCCTTTTATGCTTCAGATCGAACTCCAAACCGCCCACGGCATTCTTGCAGGGGACATTCCCGAGGATAAAGTCGCAGTATGGCCAGAAGGTTTTCCGTTTGTTTGCAATGTCGACCATCCAGCAAACGGGCCAGGGTTATTGGCACTCCAGAAAGGCGATCAAGGACAAGTTCTCCGACTTCATTGGGGCAACGATGATAATGGCAATTCTCTCCAGGGACAACCAAACGTTGTTCCTTGGTTTCATGTTTCCTGCAAGGGAATTCAAGGTTATGTCAACTTCTGGGCTTTGCAGATCGGCCGCGTCAATGCTATTGGGATCGTGACCATTGTTCCCGATCTACCAGCCTCAGTTCCTGCTCCCTTCTCAGACTCAGATCTCCCGAGCGGGGCCAAAGAAGGAGTGTTCTTCAAGACTCTTACAGGGCTGATCCTAGCTTTGAAAGATGCGCCCGAATCGATAGTGGTGCCATACTGGGTCACCAATCGCCTGAGCAACAGCGAGGATGTCTCTAAATTAGCGATCACCATTTTTCAAGGTGTGAAACGAGCTGGATTTGGCAGTTGGCTAGATGGCACGTATACCTTGGAGCATCTCGTCCGCAACGCTACCACCGTGCAAAACAGCAAATACACTCGCGGCATCTATGGCATTGGGTACGCAGATTTTGAGCGAAGCTTCGAGGGAGACGATCCAAAATTGTATATCGGAAAATCGATCAGAATGCAAACGCGAATGACTGATCATGCGAGTATGTGCACAAAGGTGTGGAGCTATCATTACCAAGCCCGCAACCGAGCGAATAAAAAAAGAGAGGTTGTATTGTGCGCTCTTGAAGATGATGATAACGACCTTCTAAGTTTGGCGGAGCAGATCTTCACGACCATGTTCAATTCATATCACCATACATTGGTCGACTTCAACGCGGAGCTGGCAGTAGATCCAGACGAGGCCAATATGATGAGGAACTATGCTCACAAGGAACAGGCATCACTAATTTCGATGATGGCCAGGTCTGTGTTCAAGAAGACAGGTTGGACCAACTACGTCGGAAGCGAGACATTCAAGGCCTCCGATGGTCTCAATAGGACAGTGCCTATGAACGAAGAACTTGCCGGCCAACGCGAAAAGGCAATCTTCACAAAGTCAACCTTGCCAGGTCACGTCAGTGTCTATCGACGTGCACCTTACAATGCTTTCCTAAGTACTTCGACCAATCAGAAACAGATTGTTCTGTATAATTGGGCTGCAAGTACATTATCAGGTCCTGGGGGCAAATTCAACATTGCAATCACACCCGAGGTTGCCAGAAACAAATTCTTGGCCCAGATTCAACCTGGAACGATGATCTACCCTTCATTCGAGATTTCCGAGGCCGGGCCTCATCCAATGGGATGGGCACGACTGCCTGAACTGGGCCCCATCTCAAATTGGAATGATGCGAGACGTTTGGCATTTTGTGTCGAATTCCAGCTTCCCGACCAAAAATGGACAAAAGTCTACATACAAGCCGGGAAAGTTTTCGACTTCGCTCCGGGCAGTGGCTCGGGTGGAATCGATGCTTCCGACCGCAAGACGCCCTCGGATCTTGTTCAAGGAGAAGATAAGTTGACGGGAGCGTTGCTGAATTATGTACAAGCTGTTGCGATCATTCGTGCTCTTGAACAGCAACGCGTCCCGAATGACTACAGTTGGATGATCAACTTCGGGATCGCTAGGGTTAAGGAGGTTACTTACAGCTTCCTCGATCAGGAGGTCAAGATCAAGCCGAAAGCTGCAACTAACGCGCCGGTCCAGAAAGCGACAGCGAGGTCTATGTTATCGATGATTACGCAGCTCATCAGTGCCGGTGCACATCTTCCGAACACTTTTGCCGGCCAAGTAGCTGCTGGGAGCAGAGGAGCACCGCGAAAGAGATGCGATAGTTGCTTCACATCCGTTGGCATTGCAGCCCACGCGGCTTCAGTATGGAAGTGCGTACGACATTCAAACAACGGATGTACGAATTGCTTCCAAAGAGGCATTCCTTGCTCGTGGACAAAGATGTCAGAAGCCCCAGCCTTGTGGCAAGTTCTTGGACCAGCCCCACCGAACAAGGACAACGTGATTCAGGATGGAGCCCCAGAGTTGATGAACATCTACTATGGCAGAGGGTGACAAGGAATCAAGCCTGATTGGTGATGAACTCTGAATAGAGAATACGAACGGTAGACGGAGGAAATGGAGCTGATGCACCGCAGCAACTGAAGGGAGAACACTGAAAAGTTCTGTTATTTCATACAGAAAACATGGATTATTCCGCCAAAGCATCAAAAAAAGGGAAAAAGTCAAAAGCAAAAAAAAAAGGACAGAGCTTGTAAATAAGATTAGGCTCAATTAGTTTACACGGCTTAGAGCTATTGAGGTAGATGGAAAACAATCAAAAAACATTGTTAGATTCGTATTGGTCCTACTTAGTATTGATAGTAAAGTTAATTCCACACCGACGTAGCTAAACTAGAATCGCCCGAGGATTATCTAGCGTATACCGAATCGAGGTCTAAAGGTAGAAAAGAAGTAGACGAGTATAATTGTAAGGGAAGCTGAGGGATAGGTAGGCCAATGGGAACGATAACACCTAGTATTAGTAGCTCTAGCCCTATATACAGAGACTCAAAGCCTTGAAGAGGCTTTGAAATAGGGTGCGCGTTGCCTGCGCTCCTTATCTACTATGCGAGCTTGGCCCTACTTGCCAGATTTAGTTCCTGCAGCTGGTCCGTGCGCGCCTGGCAACATATATGTGACTGACAGGGTTGCCAAGGGAATGTAAAGACCGTCAGGGTGGTCACAGGCTAGCCGTTTAAGGCCTTCGGCCGAAGGCCTTCGAAACGGACTAGTAGCCCTGCGTAAATTACCGATAGTATATAGTCAAACGATCCCCAGGACCCTGTAGAATTCATTATGTTCCTCCATTGAGTCACATATACATAAGGCTTACGGTGGACGGCCACCGCAACAAAGGTGCAACTGTGAATCTCCAGAGGCGAGATCGCCGCTGCAGATGCCCAAATGGCATCAGCGGGCATAGAGAAGAGCACTGGGAGAGCACTGAGCGAGGTGGGAAAATGCACAAGAGACGCCTGGGCCCGCCACGAGCCACAACCAACGGGCACCCCCCAAAAATTGAGGCTGCATGGAGAGGGTGCCTCAAAGCGACCCGAGGCACCCAGAGGGGTCCTTGGGATGGAGCGCATTGGTTCCCGTGGGCCCATACGCGGGGACAGCGAGGAGCGGTTTAACCCAATTCTTGGCTAGCCACTACGCGAGCCGAGTCCGAGCCTCTACTCTACTCGAGACAACTCTTCGCTTTGAAGGGCATGTGGATGCCTTGCGATAATGCGAAGTCGATCAACACTTCTCGCCAAATCTAGTGTCACCACCGACAGACATGTACCTAGGTAGTCTTGGAGCTGAAGAGAGTCACTTCTCATGTCTATGTCCTGGGTGTACGAATATCTACTGAGGATATGGCGAGGAATACTGACACAACCATTCTGGATGCACAATTTGAGTTCAAGCTGAAACTGTCTGTCCAAAACTTTTGGTCGCTACTCTCTCTAGAGCCCAAACATACCTAGGTAGACGTCTTGAATCCTCCGCAATAGGATTACATGTAGTCACTGTTCCCGCTTTCATCTGGCTCTACCAGCATCACTGTCTGCCTTGCCATATAGAAGACCCAAAGGCGTTCTCGTCGCTGTTTGTTTTTCTAGAGGACGGGGTTGCCTATCCATAGCAGCTACGTCGCACGGGTTCCAACCGCTCCATCAACCTCATCTTCTGGTCACTTGTGTTCGATCAACTCATCCGTCAGCCCCGAGCTGGTTACAATTGCAGGAGGGGAGGATCAGAAAAGGCTGCATCATTTCTCAAGGTCTCTACCTCGTGGAACGGACAATAGCCATCGATCCCGCCAGCAACGGTAATCTCATCCGGAGTGATCATTCTTCAATGCCACTCATGTAAAAATGACGTCTTTGTCACACCTTTTGTCGGCAGGCCGCTCCGAGGAGGGCAGATCCAAGGTTGAATCTGCGTCGTAGGGAAATTAAGCGATGTATAGGATAATAGTGCACACAGACCAGGCTGAGAACTGGTCGCATCCTAGTGCCATTACGTCCAGAGTCTACGAAGACAGAAATCACTCGTACGCAAAGTCATCCCTCGCACTGTAGCCGGCTTGAGTATTCTGGCCGGTTTTGCTAACACTCCTTGTCTATCAAACAGTAGATCTTTGGACAAATGCCTCCTGCGGCGGCCAATATGGAAGGGCATGTGCATACATGCTTGCCATCCCCTTGTCAAACATGAAACATGCCCCAGGTGCGGTTCGTTGCGCCAACGGTACGCGGGTCACACGTTTCAGACGGCCTACACTCTCCACTTGGATAGTGGACCGAGCACATGATAAGTCCCGACACAATCCTCCCAGAGGTTCAAATTGAAGCTGGATCGTCTCGTGCAAGCATCTGCTTCTCCATCTCTGGTCTACGCGAGGGGTTGTTGAGGCAGGGTGGATTGCCCAATGTCGATGCCGCAGCGCAAAGTACGACAATTGGAAAGGGGTAGGGAAGCTGAAACATCTTCTAAGCAATAAAAGATCAGCGTAATCAAGATCCACATTCAGAGGCTGTTGTACTCGAACAGTCCGTTCCGAGTAGGCACAAACCATAGAGGTTCTCGGAGATCTTAGACCAAAATGATAATACACTGGGGAGAATCGGTACTAAAGTCTCTGGTGCCTCTCATCCAGACAATGCTGGAAAAAAGACACGCGGGATTAAAGGCTCAAACCCTCCAGCGCATCTAGAAAACCTGCAATGGCTCCAGCTCCCAGGAGACCTTTAGTGGCACTTTCGCGGATATTTTGCTTCGTCGACTTCTCCTTCGAGTACCTCCTCTCATCGTGGGTGCGCGTAGAGCTACCTTGATGGGATAATCTGGATGGTGACCGTGCGGATTTACCATCTTGAGAAACTGGTCGTGGTGCTAGGCCCATCCGAGGCGAAGATTGAGGAACATATCGAGTCTGAGAGGAAGGCTGTGTGTATGCACTGAGTTGTGGGTACCCAAGTTGCGGTACCTGTCCATGTGGATGCATCTGGCCACTAAAACGAGGGAAGGCCACAGCTTGCGGAGGCACAAATGGGCTCGGGCCGTTGGGCATGTGCGCCGGCAGTAGAGGTGATGAGACACTGTGATGCATCGGATTCTGGTCGGGTGTTGCCCAAGGACGATGGCCTGGCGGATGATATGCTGGAGACGACAATCTGGATGCTGTCGACTGAGCTGACGTCACGGAGGGCTGGGCAGACGGCGGACGGTTGACAGCACCAGTAGCATTAGCTGTGATCCATGACGGCGGCGGCACCTGCGCCGCGAAATGGTGTGCCGCTGAAGTCTCCCCTCCAGGAGCTTGTATCTTTCGTTCAGCGGTTGGGTTGCCGCTACTTCGACGCCGTGGTTTGGGCTGGGCCATCTCAGCTTCAGAGGCAGATGATTCTGAATCTGAGTCTAACACGTATCGCCGCGAAGATCGCTTTTTGGAGCTAGTGCTCCCTCCCGGGGAGTCCTCCACGTCGCTACTTGCCGCACTCACGCTCGGCTGGTAACCGGAGTACTGCTTCCGTTTTTTGAATGCTTCATGTCGTGCAGAAGCAGAGTTTGGCTTCCTCCAGTCGGTTGTTGTGCCTTCCAAATAATACCCGCGAGGGCTGTCTTCCCGCTCCGGGTATCGCTCATGGAAAGGGGTCTCCTCATCGTCTTCATTGAGGTTATCGACCGAGGGGGCGTATCTTGAGCCAGAGTCACGGTTGTGGCGCCTTTCTCGGACTTCACGCCAAACGGTCCATCTTTCGAGGAGGGGGTCGATTGCTCGGTCAGACACCTGAACCATGTCTCGAGGAGAATCCCGGATCTGATGTAACATGTGATCAAGCTCACCGAGAGAAAAGACTGGAAGTCTCACCAAAGCTCTCGAGGTGGCATGATCGAAAGAGACGGTGCCAATGTTCTGTGGAGTGCTGTCTGTCGAAGTTGCCGATGATTGATTGTCTCGCATGGCGCCGTTGTCAACGCTTGATTTTCTGTCCTCCTCCTCCTCCTCCCGCTGGGAGGCTTCAAACAACATGTCCATATTGGTCATCTGCCAGTAGCGAACAATAACAGCGTTTTGAGCCTCGGCGCGCTCTTGGCTGATGGCTTCTTTCTTGAACGAGACCTCCTCCGGGGAATCGCTATGTTTTGCCTTTGTCAGCTCTTGTCTCTTGCACACTATGGGAGTCGTCAAACCTTCGTGAGGTGGACGCCCACACCTTCCCCAGCTGGAGTATCTGCAGCATGACCGAGAGGCTTAATTGAAGACTCTCGAGTTGCGCGAGCAGATATGCAACCCTGTGTTTCCTGAAAGTCCGTCCGAATCTCTGTTGAAGGGGGAGAATGGTGGTGCTGTCTGCGTCTTGCGTACTTGCACGCACCCACATATCCCTGAACTCATCAAAGACCCGTGTGCTTTCGTCTGCTATTGACTTTGCTGTCTCAACCGCTTCTTGGGAGTGAACTGAGTCCCTAGCCTGAAGAACTTGACCCGTGTGCTTCAACATCATCGAGAACATTGTGACGCCCTTTGAGACGTTCTTGACCTCGAGACCGGCATTTGAGACCTCCGAACTAATGGCGTTGAGGAGCAGCGAAAGTCTGAAGCCCGCACCGGCGACGTCGATTATGGGCGCAATGTTGCCTGCGCAGGAGTCACACAGTCAGTTTCATCGTTCCCCATATGGATGCTTGATATGACGTACGTGTTTCGGCCATTCTGGATGCGCCTAGGGAATGAAGCCCTACTACTCATCAGATCAGTTGCGAATGTGCAAAGGAAAGCAGCATGAGCAGTATTAAACCAAGGCTGTCGATTGTTCTGCGCACGATATAGCCTGAGCGAGCCAGCAGGCATACAACCAGTGGTTGTGAACACGAGGCTGCATGCTGGCTGGGGAAACACCATTTGGCGGGGAGGGGCGCCAAAGCTAAACTGCCAGACCCAAAGTCACCTTGGCACCCACACATCGCCATGTTGAAGCTGATGGGGCTCTAGCTCGTTGGGCGGCTCGCCCAGGGTCTCGACGCAAAGCCCAATGGAACTGGAGCTCGGGAGGTGCAAAATGACTCGTAACTGGCTGGCTAGCAAACCATGTTCTGCCTCAAAAATCGCCTCGCCGCCCAACCTGGACACATTTGGACAGTGTGGCAGTGAGGGGGGTTCCTTTGCGTCCAGACCAAAGACCCACCATTTCGAGCCCAAAAGGACCTCCAAAGAGAAAAAAGGAGACGAGGGGTCAAAGCAGGAGAAGAGGCGATTGGGGGAAGCGTCCACTAATATGAATCATGACTCGGTGCTCCATATTCATACCGTAATATACTGAGGTATCGGCTAAATCTCCAACCACAGCATACATGATAGTAATTGCCACTGTTTGACCACGGCGCGGAATCCTTCAGCCCGCTAGATTCACGACCACGGTACCGGGCAAAATAGCACAGTCCGCTTTCGAGCCAGGAGCAAAGCTTGCATGCAATGTACCTTCTATGTACCTCGTACCTTGTACACGAAGGCGGAAGCGGATTCCTGCTTGGCTTTCTAGGGAGTACGAACTTTACAAACGGACAGGACATTGGAATGAGCGCTTCAAAAAGTTTTTGCAGTGGGCACATTGTATTATACGAGTACAAGTATTATGGCGTACTTGTACTCGGTACACTCGTAGCAGCAACTCGTGGCTCAACGGGATAAACATTCGCAGAGGTGGGTACTCGCCCACGTTACCAAATGAATCTATCTCCCCAGTGATGCAAGCACAACGAGTATAACGGAGTACTTTCCACGTCCGAGGGTTTCCGCAAGGTGGTATCACCGACTTTCTGATGCTGAGTTCACCGTCCCGGAAAAGAGAAAAGAAAAATTCCACGTTCAGCAGGGAGAAACAAGGTGGAGCTTCGAGGGCTGGTTCCCCTTCCGTGCCACTGTTATTTCCTTGAGCCTCCTCGTCCCTTTCCTCCTCCAATTGGCATGCCGCGTGCTCGATTACGTTGCTGTTCTGTTGGAATGCGCCTGCGATTAGTACTGAGCCAGCGACTACCGAATACTTGTTCAAGGGTGCCTACCTAGGTACTTGTATAGACGGAGGAGGGGGTAATTGGAGCGTCGGGTCTTGCGTACCCCCTTGGGCGCCTCGTAGTCCTTGCATTCGACGGACGTGCCAATAATCCCTACCTAGGCGAAAATCGAGACATGGAATGCTCAAGGGTGGATAGGTGGGCAGCCCCCTTTGCAGCTTCGTCGCGTTCTCGCTTAGAAGTGGCGTTTTTATGGCCTCTTCGGTGTTGGTGGTGTCGGCTTTTCCCAAGGTCCATACAGTGCATTCGGAGGCTCACAGCCCATTGAGCCCATGTGTGGACCTTGGCCATCTTGGGCAACGCCGCCTTTAAGCTACATAGGTACCCAGATTTACAGGCTAATTTTGCCGGCTCGGCCACCCGCTTGGGCTTGGGGGTGGGCACGCTGCTCGCACCTGTTGATCGTTCCTCTTTTGCCTTTGCCCATTGCCTTTTGCCATCTTCTCTCGCTCTATCCGCACCTGGACCCCCGGCCTTAGGTCAGGTCAGTCTTTCACTTCTGCAACTCTGAGTAAAGATTGTCGTGCTGTGAAGCCTAGGTGTATTTTGTCTGGATATTTTTTACTCTGGACTCCGAACATCCCGGTCCTATTCTCGGTCTCGAACGCAAGCGATTCCAATCCCCTCCATCCGTCGATCTTATTGCCTGCAACCTTTTACCGACCGGTCCTTGCGCTTTCACTCTCGCGACCTGCCTTGGAATCGACCTCAGCTCTCTGGCTATTCAATCCACCACCGTGGTTCAAGGCTTTGGAGTGGACGACTTCTTCTGGCCTGTTTTCATCTTCAACAGGGCCAAACCACAAGTGCTGAGAGCCGCCTCCTTGAGCGCCTACTGGCCATCTCGCTCAGCCAAGGACGCTGAACATGCGGCCCTCACCATGAACCGACCGCGAAGCTGAGAACTGGCCGAGAACGACGCGTGCTGCAGTAAGATTGAGATGCAAAGAGCAAGGAAGGGGGTTCAACCGCGGCCATGCGGATCTCAATACGGGAGCAGCTCGGACTGCTCGTCCTCTTTTGCTCACTTATGTCTCTCATGGTGCTTGCACTTGCAGTGGTACGTCTCGTCGGAGGTGATGCTGTCGGATAATACTGAATAAGTTGTGGCCAGTGGTTCCAAAATTACAATTTCATCACGGGTATCAGGTCAGGAAAAATGTCCTTCTCACCCGAGGTCCTCCAGTGCTGATCAGCGTTCACAGGTTATCTGGCCTGTCCTTGACAGCATCGCTCAAAGCAGCACAGTTCACAAGTGCGCTGCTGTTGTATGATTCACAGGCCAGGTTGATCAGCACGCGGCTGCTAATTCAGAGTGCCCTGGGTAGATATAATTCGGGTAATCTCCCGGAGGACCGTTCTTCGTAAGGTGCTTATGCTAATTGTGGCCATCGAGAAGGGAACACATCAAACGAGAATTGGCAGCGATCTGCCAGTGACTTACAAGGCGCTCTCGCCAATGGCAGCGTTCTTGTTCAGGCAATATTATATCCCAATGCATTCAATGGCAATGAGACTGCTGTCAATGGGTTACTCAATGTCACTGCGCTTGGATTGACCGGCTCTGTCAAACTGCCATACAATTACCCCAATGGCTCAGCGGTTTACTTGGGAGACCCCGGCTTGGGCTATCCGCCCTCAATGTATCCGAATTTGACTTATGGCCCTCCGCAACCAGGAACCAATTTTTCAACGATATACTACCAAGGTAATATCATTCAACCCAACGACACGCTTTTCTTAGGACCGTTGGTTGTGAACGAGACTTATTCACTTCTATCGCTCACGGTTCCGCTGATCAATAACACTTCTGCGTCCGATGTCCTTGGCTGGATGACCGTTCTGGTCAATACTGATCTGATCTACGAAATCCAGCAATCTCCCGAAGGGCTGGATAAAACGGGGGAGACTCTTCTCATTGGTCCAGCGACGTCGAATAACCATTTTGAGCAAGAAATCCGGGGATCTAATAAGTCCTACGCGGGATCTCAACTCGTCCGGTTTGTGCTGCCGCCCGAAAGCAACGCTACGCTGGGATATCGACACCAGGCCCGGAGCGGCGTCAACAATGCCACCAAGCCCTTCCTTGCCTCAGATTATCCGGCAGTCGTTTCGGCATGGACAAAGGACAATAAGGCCATCAATAATGCTGGTGCCTATATCTCGACCCGCAATGAAGACGGAACAAGAGTCTCCGTCGGTTATGCCACGCTGTCTACGAAGTATGTCGATTGGGTGGTGGTCGTGGAACAGTCGCACCATGAGGTGGTTGCACCCATCGATCATCTGCGCGACGTTGTTCTTATCTGTGTCTTCTCTGTAACTGGCTTGCTCCTAGCCGTCATGTTTCCTATGGCACATTACTCAATCACTCCAATCCGACATCTCGCAGCCGCAACTGCTAGAACCGTGGAGCCTTATCAACCTGACGATAACAGCGAGTATTCAAGCACCCTGGGCCAGCAAGGAGCAGAAGTGGAGGAAATATTAGATGCTGACGAACGTGATGTGGCTAGAAAGGAGGGCTTTTTGGGTGTTCTGACTAGAATCACCAAGCCGAAACAACCAGAACGATCGACGACGCCTCGTCACCTGCGGCGTAGAACATTCAGAATACCTCGGAAAGTGCCAGAGCGAAAACACCTCATTACTGATGAGCTTACTGAGCTCACACGTACATTTAACGAGATGTCCGACGAACTCACAATGCAGTACGAGCGCCTTGAGGAAAGGGTAAAAGAGCGCACAGCGGAACTGGAGAAGAGCAAGAAGGCCGCAGAAGCGGCGAACCAGAGCAAGACGCTCTTCATCGCCAACATTTCCCATGAATTAAAAACGCCTCTTAATGGTATTCTCGGCCTTACCACTGTGTGCATGAACGAGGATGATATAGGTCGGATCCGATCAACCCTCAATACCATTTACAAATCTGGAGACTTGCTGCTCCACCTGTTGACTGATCTCCTCACTTTCAGCAAGAATGAGGTCGGACAGCAGCTGTCGATAGACGAAGCGGAATTTAGACTCAACGATCTGAGCACCCAACTGATGCCCACCTTTGAAAAACAGGCTCGGGAGGCGCAAGTGGATCTCAAAGTACTTTTTCTTGGGACGAACGACGCTTTTGGTGACGCTTCTGAGTTATCTGGCGACAAACTGTACGGCCCTGTCGGCACAGGTCGTGTAAGGGATATGTGCCTATGGGGCGACAAGAACAGAATTTTGCAGGTGTGTTCTGTCTCGAATCAAGATTCGGTCTACTAACAACCCACAGGTTCTGATGAACTTCGTCAGCAACAGTCTCAAATTTACTCCTGCTCACGGCTCTGTCACAGTTCGTGTTCGATGCACAGGTCTCGTTGAGAATTTTCCCAGTCGAGCAGGAAGCGCGCGGAAATCGTCCCTGAACTCGAGAAAATCCAAGTCGTCAAGTAACAAGCGAGTACGGATGTCAGATGGCTCGCTGGTTTTACCAGATGGCACAGATCATGACAAGAATCATTCGAATTCCGGTGGAACCGAAGATTCAAAACTCAGCATTAATGTGGCTGGGGGCACGACGCACATATCAAAAATCGCAGAAAGACAGCGGTCCATGTCTCCTCCACCAGTGAACACGAAAGATTTGAGTTTTGAATTCGAGGTTGAGGATACAGGCCCTGGAATACCACCTGAACAGCAGAAGATGATTTTTGAACCCTTTGTGCAGGGTGACCTCGGCTTGAGCAAGAAATATGGAGGTACTGGACTTGGTCTAAGCATATGCGCTCAATTGGCGGCCCTAATGGGCGGCGACATATCTCTCGACAGCAAAGTGGGGGTTGGCAGCAAGTTTACTATGCGCATTCCGCTTCGTTATGTATCGGAGCGCTCTCCTTCAATGGCGTCCTCGACCCACAGGACAGCCTCCAAAGCCAGCAGTCTTGTTGGGCAAACATTGCATGATCAGCCCGACGCAATGCCGCACAACCATAGTGGCTCCACGACGTCCTTGACCTCGGCGCGGGATGACCAACTGAAACTGGCTGACGTCCCAAGGATAGTTGGTTTTACTCAACCCTATGTGGCCAAAGAGACGAAAAGTAGCGACTCATCCCAGGCAAAACTCAATGAGATAAAGAAAGTGGAAAATGAAGCTGCGCAAAAGGGTCGGAAAGTTCGCGTGCTGGTGGCAGAAGACAACCAGGTGAACCAAGAAGTGGTACTTCGCATGTTGAGGCTGGAAGATGTCTATGGTAAGTTGCCTGACCCAGTGAATGTAAAAGTCTCACCGCCGGATAGATGTCACTATTGCGAAGGACGGACAAGAAGCCTTTGAAAAGGTTCGAGAATCCATGGTGAGTGGGCAACGGTTCGATTTGGTCTTTATGGACGTTCAGATGCCCAATCTCGACGGGATCCAGTCGACGAAACTCATTCGGGAAATGGGATTCAAATCACCTATCGTCGCCCTCACTGCGTTCGCTGAGAAATCCAATGAAGACGAATGTATGGCATCTGGGATGGACTACTTTTTGGCCAAGCCGATTCGAAGGCCTGCCCTCAAGCAGGTCTTGAAGAAATATTGTGCAACAATACCAGAGGAAGAAAACGAAGGAAGTTCAACTGCCGTGCCGAAGGTCGGTGAGAATGCAGCGTCACAATCAAAAAGCGGCCAGGCGACATCTAAAGAGCTCAATATTGACATGCTGGACTCAACCGACGTTTCACCTCTGTCATAATTACCCCAACAGCGCGCTTAGTGGCCTCTCGCCGTCCCGGCGGAAGCACAGGGGGGAATCTGCGCCAGTTGTATAACAATACTCTTATTCGTCTTGGGCATAGGAAGATTTGTGGAATCTAGGCACACTCATGCCAGGATACTTCACTACTGGCAGGCTGTTGTTTGACTGAGCATCTGAGTTTTCAGGTTTATTCTAGCTAGTGCATATGGACAGCGATGGCGTGAGGAGTTCGGGTCTACGTATTGATGGAAATGATCGCTTCAAGACGGATCTGAGTGCTACGGTTTGGGAAAAAAGTACAAGCTACGTGGGAAGTGGCATTGGCTAGGATTGTGGGTATCACGGTTCACGCATGGTATACAAGGAGAGTTTTCGTTCCTCAACAAGATGGACGAGTGCCAAGAATGCCCGTCCTTAATTGATACAAATTCTCACATACCCATGTATCCTTTACGGACCATTTCTGACCGAGCAGCACAAATGAGTTTGAGTGGGTGACATCGGACTGCAAAGTCACATATTGCGCCTCTAGGCTCTCGCCCTTGGAAATTTGATACGACAGAAAGCGCTTGGGGGTGGAGCTCTACAGTAGCTCGCCAGTTGCACCTTCAAGTCCCTGGTAGATTGGCGGGATTCCGCCATCGATTCATCGCGGGGTCCAGGCTGCGTCCGGCTACCTGCCACCCACCTGCGCTGCCGTGGGCAGGCCAGATCGACCCACACCGCAATGAGATCGAATCTCGCTTGTCAATCCGATCCCTCGCCCTTGACATCACCATTCATGTACCAGCTGGTGCCAGTATTCACAATTTGAAGGGACGGCTGGTTTTGCACCTCTGCTTCTTTTCGACCGCTTCGGAGCCTTCACCAATCCCCCTTTCATCTGCAGACTAAGTAAAGGATAGATTTCTAGTCGCCTCAATCGAGCATTTCCGACCATGTGCCCATTCAAGCGGAAAGCGGACGATGCGATACTGCCTATCGATGCTAAGCACAAGAAGTCACGCCCCACTCAGATCTTGTCGAACCGATATAAAGACTCGGAAAATGAGATCAAGTACGGCATCGTCCTCCGCAAGTATTATCCTCCTGAGATGACCAACGAGCGAGCTGAGGCATACAACGCTGGCGAGATCGAGCGACCCATAGAGACATTGGAGAAAGCCGTCAAAGAAACACAGGGAGATCGAAACCGAATACAGCCAGGTGATTGTGTGGTTCACTGGTTCAAATGCGACTTGCGGATTACAGACAACAAGGGGCTGCACCTAGCCAGCAATATGGCCAAGATGCACAATGTGCCCCTTGTTTGCCTTTATTTGATATCACCACAGGACTTCGAGGCTCACTTGACATCCCCTGTGCGCGTTGATTTCATTCTTCGCAACCTTGTCATGCTCAAGAAGGATCTGGGTGATTTGGATATACCGTTGTACGTCGAGACTGTCGAGAAGAGAAGGAACGTTTCGGCCAAGCTGATGGAGTTGTGCACAACTTGGGGTGGTTGCCATGTGTTCTGCAACGCCGAGTACGAGGTGGATGAACTCAGGAGAGAAGCTGCTCTGACCAGGTCCTGCTTGGAGAGGGGAATATCTTTCAATGTCGTCCATGACACCTGCGTTGTCGAACCTGGAAAGCTGAAGAGTGGCTCCGGCGGCGCAATATCAGTCTACAGTCCCTGGCATCGAAAATGGTGCGCCTACCTCGATCAAAACCCCAAAGAGCTTGGCTGTTTCCCTCCACCAGCAAAGAATCCTCCAACTTCCGTGGACAATTACCCACAGCTATTCGACACTGAGATTCCAGCCGCGCCTCCATCGAAGCAGCTGAGCGAGGAGGAAAGAAAGAGATTCCATGCTATGTGGCCTGCAGGAGAACGTGAGGCTCAAGATCGACTGCGCAAGTTCGTGCTCGAGAAAATCGCCAAATACCACGATACTAGGAACTTTCCGGGAGGCAACGGGACATCTGTCCTGAGCCCACATCTTGCGGCAGGAACAATTGCCGCACGGACTGTTGTTAGAGAAGCTCGAGAAGCCGCGCCCCTCAAAAAGTTGACTGACGACCGGAAACAAGGACACTCGATGTGGATCGCTGAGGTGGCGTGGAGAGACGTGAGTGACCCCCTCCGAAATGCAGTAGTAGGGAGCTGAGGCTAACAGCGGTCTGCAGTTCTATAAGCATGTCCTATGCCACTGGCCGTATGTCTGGTGAGTGCGTGGTGTTCCGGTTTTTCTTGGAAGGCGTGATGGCTGAAATCTACTCGCAGCATGAACAAACCGTTCAAACCAGAATACAGCAATATCGAGTGGGAGTACGACTTGAACCAGTTTAACAAATGGACCGAGGGAAGGACAGGTTTTCCCATCGTTGATGCCGCAATGCGCCAAGCTGCACATACAGGATACATGCCCAATCGTTGTCGTATGATTGTGGCGTCCTTCTTAGCCAAAGACCTTTTGGTTGACTGGCGCATGGGCGAAAAATGGTTCATGGAGCACCTCATTGATGGTGATTTCGCATCGAACAATGGCGGTTGGGGGTTCAGTGCCAGCTGTGGTGTTGACCCACAGCCATATTTTCGCATCTTCAACCCCTTACTTCAAAGCGAGAAGTTCGATGCGAAGGGGGACTATATTCGTAGATGGGTGCCGGAGCTTGCAGAAATCGAAGACAGCAGAGGAATCCATGACCCGTACAACCGTGGCTATGGGAAGTTGGCTGAAGAGAACGGATATCCAAGGCCGATTGTCGATCACAAAGAGTCCAGAGACAGGGCCCTCACGCGATACAAAGCGGGCATCGGAAGGAACACTGCATGAAGGCTTCCTGGCTCAAATCGAATCCCAAGGAGCGGAACTGGACTGGAACAAACCTTTGAGACGCACGGCGAGCTTTGTGAGTCCTGTTTCGCTTGCTCTGAGTTTTTAAATGTAGCCTTCAACTTGGCGTAATTGTGCCACCGACCCTTGGGCAGAACTGACAACTCACGATGGTGTGTGTCTTGTGGTTGAGGATGCGAAGCTCGAGGTCGCACAAAGTGGCTACCTAGGTACCCAGGTAGGTAGTTACTGAGGTTCCGGGGGCGGCTTGGGAGCACTTCGTACTGGGAGGGGAGCGGCAACCGGCAACCCGGCTATGAGCCCGGCGAAGCCTTCCTCCAACCAGCCGCCGAGATGAGCACCTAGCACGAGGACCAGCGGGGGCTCTGCCCCTCGTTTGGCCCACTAACGTCTTTCCTGGCCGCTGGTGCCACCCTCTTCTGAGGCTTTGCTCATCTCAAGACCAAGGATTGGGTGAATTTTTGGTCCTTCTCCCATTGCTCACCGTGAACCCCGGCAGCAGCAGTGGCGGCGAGGCGGGACTCGGGCACATTGCGCTTTTTGACGGTCTGCCCTTATTCCCTTTACGATGACCGCCTGGGAACTTCTCTGCTTCCTTCCACGGTGCAACCCCCATCAGCCTCTATCCCAGGACTTCTTGTGGTTGAGAGTGAGGTCCATGGCTCTTCCCGGTCTCTCACCCTACTCAAGCCATGGCCAAAGGAGCGAAACGGGCACTTCAGTTGCCCAAGCAGCAACTGCTCATTCTTGCGGCATGCCGCTTCGCAGAGCCCGTGGCGATGACTTCGGTCTACCCATACATTGTGAGTCCTTGCCATGTCTCCGACGTATTGATCAATCTCACTGACGCTCTACAGCCGGAGATGATCCAATCCTTCAACGTCCGCGATGATAAAGTGGCTAAATGGGCCGGTCTCATGTCTGCGACTTTTTCACTGTCACAATGTTTGACCGGAATCGCTTGGGGACGAGCCTCAGATCGCTTTGGCCGCAAGCCCATCATTCTTCTTGCCCTGACCTGTACCATGATATCGTCCATACTATTTGGCTTCTCCAAAAATCTTCTCTGGGCCTTCATCACACGGTCCTTGCAGGGCCTGTCGAACGGGAATGTCGGGATCATTCGGACGGCCGTGGCAGAACTGGTCCCGCAGAAAGAGTTACAACCGCGTGCATTCAGTATCATGCCACTCGTTTGGAATATTGGGAGTATATTTGGGCCGTCCTTCGGTGGATCTTTGGTCCACCCCGTGGAACGATATCCTGAGGTCTTTGGAAGGTTGAAGCTGTTCAAGGAATATCCTTTTGCGCTGCCAAACGTCTTGATCAGCATTCTTTTCATGTTCGGCATTACTGCCGGTTTCCTTTTCTTGCACGAAACTCTCGAGGAAAAGAAATCCAACCGGGACTATGGCCTGATACTGGGCGAATTTCTGACCAGTTTGTGCACCCGAAAGCCGCAACGCAGGAAATGGTCAAACACTGAGGAGTCCGATCCGTTTCTCTCTGGCATGTCAAGTGAACTGTCCACACCGGTATCTGGCTCCATTTCCGCGGCTAAGATCCCCAAGCAGAGTCCAGGCTGGGCAGAGGTCTTCTCCGGTCAGTCGAACATCAATCTCGCCGTCTACACATTTCTGGCCATGCACTCTGTGGCCTACGACCAACTGCTGCCAATATTTATGCATTATCCCGTGCAACCTATTCAAGACCCACAGGTCCATCTACCTTGGAAGTTTGCTGGTGGATTCGGGATTGACTCCAACAGAATCGGCTTGCTTTTTACGATCTACGGTGTTTTCGGCATGCTTATCCAATTTTTTGTCTTCCCGCCTTTCGCCAGGAGGTTCGGCGTTCTAAATTGTCTCAAGGCTTGTTGTCTAACCTTCCCCCTGGTCTACGTCGCAACACCTTTCACAGCCCTTCTGCCTACCGACTCGTCAAGGCAAGGCATCATGATGTTGCTAATGTTGATCAAGGGGTTTTGCGGTATCTTTGCGTTCCCCTGTTCTACCATTCTTCTTACCAACAGCGCGGCTAGCTTGAAGATATTAGGTACGCTGAATGGAGTGGCTACCAGTATCTCTGCCATTGGAAGAGCTGCCGGACCAGCTTTAGCAGGCGCGACGTTCACAAAAGGAGTCGATATCGGATACGTCGTGATCCCTTGGTGGACATTGGCCTTGGTTGCCGTTATTGGCGCTGTTCCAGTATGGTTTCTCGTGGAGATGGAAGGCTTTGGTGGAGATCTGGACGAAGACGAGAGTGACGTAGAGGGAGAAGAAGAGGAAGAAGATGACGACGACGACGACGACGACGACGACAATGGAGGCGGCGCTAAAACATCTGCGATTGTGGCCTCTAGAGCACATTCCAGGAAGTCTAGTGCCCCATCTGTACCCGAAGAGGCAGTGGAGGACGACGAAGAGTTGCCAGGGTCTCGCCTCTTGACACCAGCTACGACGCGGAATTCACAACCTTCATCTCGACGCCAGAGCCTCCAGCTCCGACGAGTCTCAAGCCCCATCGGTCTTGGCCCTGGCATCATTCCCGCCGGAGCCCGCAGATATAGCAGCGACCTGGGAGCTACAAGGAGTGGATTAGGTGTTGGTGGGACGAGTTACTATTGAGCATTTTCAGAGTGCAGCGTGAGAAGTTCAAAAACGTTTACTGGTTGATGACGAGAGGTACAAATACGGCGTACTGGATAGGTCCCAACAGTCTGATTATGACTATGACTTTGAGTCACAGGCGTGCTATGGTGCCTTCCAGTATCTGGTTGACACCATTCCGCACCTCTTCCACAATGTCGGCAGCGTTCTGCAACTTGTTCACAAGCCCTACTCCAGCCCCTGCCCAGACGTTCGCCCGGTTGGTTTTTCCAAAGCCGGCGTCCTTCCCAGTCACCGCTTCATTGTGCATTTCTCGAATCTCCTTGATATCGATACCTCGAACATAATCAGCGTAGCTCTCGGTAACCAGGCTTCTTCCGTCATATGCATCCGGCCAAATATTGGGACCCTTAACATTGTCGAACAATTTGCTCCGTACGGTGCTTTGAGCTCCATCTCGTGCGGCCAGTAACAGCTCCCGATACCCAGGTGGCACTTTTGTCTCTTTCGCCGCGAGGAACCTCGTCCCCATCACGACACCAGATGCGCCCAGAGCGAAAGCCGCTGCAGCACCGCGAGCATCCGCGACACCCCCCGATGCCAACAACGGAATATTATCAAGGCCCTTTGCCCCAAGAGCATCGGTCGCCTCTGGTAGCACCGAAACAATACTGGCACCTCTTTCAAACCCATGGCCACCGGCGTCAGCACCCTGCATGACCAGAGCATCAGGCTTGGCCGTCATCGCGATCTCAACCGCGGCGCTCACACTGCCAACCTGGATCCAAATCCTAGAATCTGGGCAGCATCCTCGAATCTCTGCAGACCAAGTGGCGTAGTCCCTCAGCTCTTTTGCGGCAAATAGCCAGATCACGGCTGGTTGGTACCTCTTCAAGATGGGCAGCACAGACTCAGCCTTGACGATGAAGGGTAACAGGCCCACACCGATGGGAAGCATATGACTCTGTGCATGAGTAGCCTTCAGCTCATCTGCTGCAATGTCCAGTTCATTCTCCAAATCATCGGACATGATGGCCCCGATCATCCCGAGGCCGCCTGATTTTGTGACGGCGCTTGCAAGATGGCCGCCAGCAAAGCCACCCATGGGTGCATTGACGATGAGCGGAGATGATGTCCATGGGAATTGGGATCTGAGCAAACCCGCCATGTTGGATCGAACCTGTGCGGGAAATATCAATCCCCTTCGCGGCCGGATGTTTTCAAAGTTGCAAAGTTTTAAGAGCTGCGGTGTGAGGAACACTGAAGGGCAATGGCCAAGCCGGGGAGATCGAGGCCAGCATTGTCTCTCGCGCACCTTGTACCTTAGACACTGCGTTTGCTTGACATCCTTCAGCTCTCGCGCTTATGCTGTCTTTGGGCACTGACAAAGAACAGCAAACTCATCATTTCCGCGGAGGAGACTGAATCCTTCTCTCATTACGACATTCCGACTGTCATATGGGCGCCTGACGCTTACGGCTTTCTCGCCCCATGAAAATCCGACGTGACGCTGATTGTTTAATTATGAATGGATGCAGCCTATGTCATTCGATTGTGCAATTTAATGTACTACAGGATGACTCGATAAGATATCGACGTTACTGCCTAGGTAAGCTCAACCCGTGTAAAGAGAAGAAAGATTGGCTCGCTGGCCCAACACGAAGGACGTAATTTCACCTGTGTCCCTTGTCATCCTTGGCAAGCCTCTGTCAGTGACATACCGGGGCTGACTGTTGCAGCCCAGATATTATCCCAAAAGATTTGTGGCTGCCTCTAGTCTCTCTTCAATGATTGCGCTCCATCTCTTTGCATTTGTGATATTCTTGTCTTCGAAGCTCTCAACGAGGCCTGGATAGGTAGCACCCGCATAACCAGTCCACCGGCCAGGGGCGAAGACGACATGCTTGAACCAAGACCTGTTGTCTAGACCGCCAGCAAAGAGAAACTGACGCTCCAGTGTTTTATATTTCTCGTTTGCATTCCGCACTTCGTAGAAGAGCCTCACCTTCTTCCACCAATCCCACCACGGCACGTCCTCCGCGAGCTTTTTTGTCAAGTCGGTGGTATATTCATCGAATTTCGTGGCAGCTTTGCCAAATTCTGCTGTAGCATTGTCAAGCGCCCGGAAGCTGAAGCTCGACCCTTCCAAGTGCGGTTTGGATCTCTCTTTGACATCGTCTAAATAGACACTGAGACCTTTGGCGTAGTCTTGAGCGCTCAAGGACAAGACAGGAGTCTCGCTCAACTGCGCGGTCAATAGTGCTATTATTTTGGCCACGGTGGCATGGTAGTGCCAACCATTGTCCCCATAAGAGTCCATCCAATGGAAAGAGTCATAGTTTGAGTGGTAATGATAAACAGCGTCTTTCGGACCATTCCCAAACCCGAGGTCAAGCGATGGGATGCCGGCAAAGTCCTGGAAGGCCGTAAAGTCACTGCCAGATCCCATCGTGCGTATATGACCATCCCAAACATCACCGACTGACTGTCCTTTGGTGGTCTGGTTAGGTGATGGCACCGAGTCGGTTGCCGCGTACAAGAGTTTGTTCAACAATGGAGATGCAGCAGCTTCAAAGTGTGTACCGCGCGCCCCCACATCCACATTTAGATAGGCGACAGTGCTGCTAGAAAGCCACGGTAGGTATTCCTCGACCCATTCCGTCGAACCGACAAGGCCATACTCTTCGCCATCCCAGCTCGCAAAGACAATTGTTCGGAGCGGCTTCCATCCAGCCTTGAGCGCTTCTCCGAACGACCGAATAACTTCATTCAGTGCTGCCGAGCCGGAGTTGGGATCTCCTGCGCCTCCTGCGATCCAGGCGTCTCGATGATTTCCAACGACGATTACTTCATCCTTTGCTGTGCCATTGATTATACCAATAACATTCCACAGTGGCGTGGTAACATATTCCTGCTCATTTATCAAGTTGAGGACAACGGAGTCTGGTGACGGGCCGATGTTGTATTCAACACCCTTGTAAGCCAGACCTCCGCCATGCCAGGCCTTGTCAAACGAGCTTGCGTTGGGTCCATGCCCGTTCAAAGCTTTGAGGAGAGGGAGGGCATCGGCGTAAGAAATGGGCAGCGATGGGATGCGAGGAGTGGAGCCATGGGGATCGACACGAGGCACACCTGGTTTGGAGGGATAACCAGGTGTTGTTGGATCGCCGGGGAGTGTGCCTGCGCCTGTCAGCAAGGGTCAGTTGTGGAGGCCCGAGAAACACACTGATGTATTGCGTACTGCCTCTTTGCACGCTGCTCGGATTTCTAGCCGGTCCATCTGGGTAGGTCTTGTATCCATTCTCCTCTGTAACATCGCCGTCCTCCTGCGGATCAGAGTACATGACTACTCCGACCATACCTAACTCCTGAGCCCTTTTCACCTTGAGCCCACGGAAGATGCGGCCGTATTTGGCCAGGGCAATCTTCCCCTCCAAGGTAATATTCGCAGCTCGTAGATCTTCGAAGTCTTGATATGTGCCGAAATTGACATACACATATGGGGCAGTAACATTGCCACTGGCCGAGTAGCCGTGGAATGTTGGAACACGATCTTGCAATGAAGTTGTTGGATCCTCGTCGATGACATCTTCTTCCAGGCTGCATTCATACTTGACCTTGTGCCCGTCTAGCAAGGCCAGCCGATGGTCAATCGGGTAATTGATAAACACGTCGTAGGCGACAATATCCGACTTGACACCGAACTCTTCCCATCTCTCTCTTGTCCACAGAGCTTGACTCAAGTTCTTGCCTGCAAGATGAGGACCCGACGTATAATACTCGCTCCATGAGCGTGCCTTGTCCTCATTGGGAGTCTCGAGGAGCAGCTCAATAAGTTCTTCGTAGGTGATGCCCGCACTCTGCGGCCATGAGCGAGGATAAGGACGTGACCAAGGAAAGTAGGAGGAGACAGAGTCGTGACCACGGGGTAGGATGGCGACCGGAAGAAGAAAGCAGATAACAATGGCTATCAGACTGCTTCCTAAAGCGATGGAGCAGAAACGTTTCAGTGTCGTGTGCGGGTACCTAGGCTGGCGCCGAGTCACGTAGACGGTCGTAATAAGGGGTGTGCGCTCATCCATGACGACCGCATCCTTATGCATTCAAGCGGCAAAGGAGATATGCGAATAGAAAAAATCGCCCCGTTGCGTCTTTGCACAATTCAACAAGTAGACTCGACTGAAGCTCGTGAGGACGAGGTCGTTTCCCCAATGACCGAAACTGCAGAGTGATTGTCCCTCTCCAATACATGCCGGGCAGGTCAGCCGATGACATATGCGACCTCGGCGAGCACCATCATCACAATCTACCTCGCTACCACCCATCAAATCAAGAGAATTCTTGCAACTGCCCTTTGCCATCAAGTGCTGGAAGCCATGAGGCTCGCCTGCTCACATAAAACTCCACACCCGGCTCTGCTGTCTCAACTCCGGAGGTATCGTCAAGAGAACCAGCCACGATGAGTACCACACCGCGAAAACCCTCAGCATCCCCGACCTTGTTGATAACACACCCACAATTAGCACAGAAAGAATACGTCAAGATCATGCCGCTATCCTGAGTCGTTGCATATGTCTTGGGCGCTCCGGCCGTGATCTTGAAATTCCCCTCTGGAACAACGATATTGGTCGTGAACACACTGCCACTAACGTGTCGACAAGTTATGCAGTGGCATATCGCCTATGCGACTTAGCAACATTCTTGAAGAGACCGCGACAATGACTCTTACCTTCATGACGGGCTCACCGGTATACTCATACTTCAGTTCACCGCAAAGGCAGCCTCCGGTTGGCATGATGAGATTTTTCAAAGAACAGAATCAAGGTCTATTGAGGCAGGAGTCAGCTTCTGGTTGTTTACCGGATCACAATGGTGAGGAGAGGGTTACTTATACATTGTATACCATAGTAGAACAGCCACGTTGCAGCATTCATATAACCGCAAGCAGAACCTAAACTTGGCTAACGCGATGTCGACAGAAGGGCGCAAGCCGGCTGTCGGTGGTCTAACCTGTTGATATCGAGCTCATAAGCTATTTCTCGTCGATCTTGAATCGTGCCATGCTGCACACCTGTGCCCACGTCCAGCATGGCCTACCATTGCCTGGGATTCTGGTCCCAACTGCGCTGAAATCGATTGAACGGTCGAACTGTTCGGCTGACGTTGCTGAAAGGTGTCAGCATGTCAATCTAGGGCGCAAAAGTGGACATGGATACTGCCTTTGTGTAGACAGCTGACCTATGGTTATGAAACCTTATTCTACTTAGGTAGGACCGCAGTTGTGCTCGTCTTGACCAAGGGCGAAACGCTGTGGTCGGCCCATATGGTAAAAACCTCCAATACACGTTCAGTCAGTGAGCTGGTGTTTTGGCTTACCATAGGCCATGTAGGCCTGCCCAAGGGATCTTGTCCCGAGATCCTCAAGTTACCCATATTCGGCAGTGGGTATTAGCATGTCATTAGGCCGTTTCCGGGTTGACCGGTGAATCCTGCCACTCTTCTGACCTGCACGGCTTGACGAAGTCTCATGTATTTCTTGCGTCTGGTATGGTGTTTGTCTACATAATCAAGACTGGCGCACCGACATTTGAAATAGAGTGGGCCATCTCGCTCGGCAGCTAACATGATTGTAGCGCAATCCGCTCCCAATCCTAAAAGAAAGAATGAAAACTGGGATTTGATCGATTCGCGCCGCTGATGTGATTCGCAAAAGCTGTCATCTTGCCCAGAAGCAGGAAACATTAAAACAACTGGGTGACAATCGAAGGACCGATCCACTCCATCGCACAATGCCTCTCTGTCAAAGGAGTTTTCCGGTCGACGCCTCTGATCCGCATCAGACACTACAGCGAGCAAAGATCTCTCTGCGAAACGCGACCGAGAGATTCATTGACTCCAGATCACCTGGAGGGATAATCTGGGAGGCATACATGCCGCAATTGCCGGCAGTGGGATCGATCCACTATATGATGGTCAGCTTCAAACATTGACATATCCAGGGCTACGACGAACCCAGAAAAGGTTTGGAAGGCCGCCCCATGACATTGTTCCCTTCTTGCAAATACCGTCCACGTCTTTCATGTTCAGAATGCCGCCTAGGCCAAAATTCCACGCAGGACTGTCAACTCCTCCGCGAAACATGGGCCCTGCCCCTGGTTCGGTCACTGTTGCAACCAAGCTAGCTTCATCAGAAAGCTGTGGCGTGAACATCATATTTACGGTCTCCGGTTTGAGGAGAGTGCCGTCATTTTTGAGCAACGATATAAGCACTTTGATATAGTCTTCGGCAGACGAGTACAAACCCCCGCCGCCGAGGTCGTCTTTTGGATTGGGATTGGGGTATGGGTCAGCCGGTACAAGGTCTCCTTCTGGTGTCCTGGTGGTTGTGGCACACAGTCGACTGCGCACCCTCTCGTTCTGCCCAAGGCGGAAGCTTGTGGATGCCATTCCCAAAGGATCCCAAATATTCTTTTTCATATACTGCCCGAGCGTCATATTTTCATTCACTCGCTCGACCATTTTGCCAGCCCAGTCGATGCCGCAGCTATAGCTCCAGCCCTCGCCTGGCTCGAACAAGAGAGGCATGTGGTATGCTTTCCGCTAAGGGTAAGTATGTCAGGATTCAAGTATGCCAATCTTAAAGGGTATGATCTCACAATCTCGCCGTTCCCCGGGCGGGTTAATTCGCCGCGCCATTGTCGCCACTTCATGAGGTCTGGCGACAGGAAGTCATACCCCATGCCACTAGAATGTGTCAGCAACTGGCGCAACGTAATTTTCTTCGTTGCCTTTTTGAAGTGTGGTTCCCCTGTGTCTTGCCTCCATCCCGTTAAGATGTCTGGTGATTTCCACTCATCGAAGAATAAGGAGACATCATCATCGAGACTTAGTTTTCCCTGCTCGACGCACTGCATGGCCGAAATGGTGGTCAGAAGCTTTGTGCATGACGCAATCCAAAACGTGGTATCTTCAGTCATCGCTCTGGCAGTCTCCGGGTCGACAGACGTAAAACCCTTAGCACTATGGTAGATTATAGCACCTAGATCGCTGTTAACCAAAATTTCGCTTTGTGGGGACAAATAGCCTTGTTAACCGGAAGCATCAGCTGCTATCGTGACCGCCCCAGCGATCTTTCGAGTTGGACCAGGTTTGGTGGCAGATTCAAACTGCTTATCGAACGACATCTTGATTGAAGAACGTGGAAGACCGCTGGTACTGAATGCTACGAGCCTGATGTTTTTGTAGTGGCGATTCAACACTCTGCTGGGGTCAGGGAAAGACGCTTGAGAGAAGAGGAACTTGATGGCGCTGTTATAGCTTTCTGATTTTCTTGTCCAGACTCCGCCACGTAGATATTTCAGTGCGTGCAGAAACTCTACTTCACGAGTCTTTGAAAATTGAAACAACCTGATCCCTCCATTTTCGGTAATTGTCATCAACCCCACCTTCGAGAAACAATTCCCTCGGTGCCGAGCACAAGCCGACCGCGAACAAGCCGGCAGCGAATGAATATTGATGTACCGAGTAGATTCGTTGACTTCATATACACAATTCTCCTGTCCGGAGGAGAGATCCTTCAGTAACGAGCCATGTCCTGTGGATGAGCCGTCTCCTGCTTCCTAAGCGGGGTACCAAAGGTGTCGAAGTTGATTTTCCGCGTTGTATATCTGAGATCTTCGGGATCCATGTTGCGGCTATTGACACCAATCTCGTTTATAGTGTCTCGCTCAGGATACCAAAAACACCTACAGACCCAGTCAGGTTTGGGTGATCAGAAAGAGTAACCCCCCCCCTAGAAAGCTCACGCACAGAGGCGAAGATATATGCTTAATTGAAAAGTCTTACATGCAGCCGCAGTTGTCACAAAAGTTGAAGGAGATATCTCGATCGCCCCAGATGTACTTCTTTACATTGCCAGCTTTGTGCTTGTTAACGGTGACCTCTTCGGGTTTGTAGTAGATCCACGCAGCTGCGTAGCGACGACAGATAGTGCATTGGCATTCGTTGATCTCATTCGGCTGATAAGGGACAATCACTTCGATCGCGCCGCAATGGCAGATTGATTTGAGGGGCGAGCTGGAAGATTCCTCGGCCATGTTGAGCAGACCGGAGAAAACAGAGTGATCATGAGGGACTTTGCAATTACGGCACCTATTACCTCCTTACTACTTCGCACAATTATAAGGCAAACAGGTAGAGTGACTAGCCATTGACACTTAAGCCATGCACTAGATCGGTACTCGGGAATTGTTACTAGTGCAAGGCAACCTTAGGCAGCAACAGCAACTTTGGTTATTAACGCGTTTAGGGTAAATTCGCGTTGATCGCACGACTTCTCCATTTTCAGGAACGGTCCTCAGGCCTAGCATCTCAAAAGGGCAAGATTCGTGGAATTCCTCCTGAATTCTGCAGATCTAGTAGATACCTGTCAGGATCAGAGGGTTACTGACATCCATCAATCAGAGCCGCTGTATTTCATCTTGCCAGATACGAGGTGTTGATGCGAATGTGAAATTCTAAAATGCCTCTTATTAGTAGCTATACAAGTAGTATGGCTAGTAACACGAAGTGCTTATGGCAAGCTTTGATACAGGCCGGGTCGCTAAGATGTGGGTTGAGTCGGGCTGGGCTACGGGTTGGCTGTTGAGATTGACAAGTCGTCAGGGAATCTATACCTATGATAAATTGGTAAAAGTACAAGCCTCTTTATCTCGTAAGGATATTAAGTATGATCACGGACAGTTGCACCGTCTGTACCTGCTTACTTCTTAGGTGAGTAACAAACGAAATACCTCTCTGTCGATCGCCCGATAGAACCAGGACGCTAAAGGGTCTACGTTGATATCCAAGTGAGGTATCTCTCGGCTGGGACTAGAGTATTGTCGTAGTAACGTGCTAGTTGGACAACTGAATGGCATAGTGCGTGGAAGATGGAGTTTGCGAATGACGACCACACGTTCGGGTTGTTTCATAAGAGTCCATAGAGTAATGTTCTCCAGAATTTCCTATGGTAGCTTTGGAACGATTGACATACCTGCTGAATCTTCGAGAATCGAAAGACTGAGTATATCACCTGACAAGGTTGTCTCTGCCCCCAGCCCGCCTTTCGATGAAGGATGCGAGGCGTTGCTCAGCAAAGGTCAGGCATTCTTGTACCTCTTTAGCGTGTCGCAGCGCCACAGGATCTTGAAGCAGGCGTTCCTCAAGATACCAGCGAAGCTCCTTCGACCACTCATTTTCGAACATCCAGCTCAGGCTAATGCCCAGAACTTTGATTGACGTCTTTCCGTCTTAGGAAACGGCCGGGGAACATTGAGACGTGCCGACAGGCCAAAATGCTGTATTAGGATTGGCGCGCGTATTGCACTCTGATTGTGATCGCATGCATTTTGCCACGTAACAGGCATTTAAGCGTGTTACAGCCAACGAGACCAAGATTTAGAATATTTCAAATCATCACAATTAGTGACTCTAAAGTTGCAGTGTACATTTCAAAATTGGGGATGTATTGTGATCCGTGGCCCGTCTGTCGTGTTGGGACTGTCTTTCACCTTTTTGGCGGGAGAATCTTTCATTTCAGCACCACTCTCGGCACTAGTAGCTATATTGGTTATGTTGTCTTTTGAGAGCTGTTGATGTAAATCACCAGACATCGGGCCCAACCACTGTTTCGATCTTGCGCCTGTCGAAATGTGTTTTATCGATCTCTGGTGTCCAAGAGTGGACACTATAACTTGGTGTGCATCATCCAGCATATGAAGGTCTTCAACAACATTGGTACGCTCTTTCGTGACTTAGTCCGTGCCACATTCACAAATAGGCAGGCATTGTATGATGCTCTTCAGCTCTCCCTAGTGACGATGACAGGGCCTGAAAGTTCAAGTCGAAGAGTCGACTCTCCCCAACGCCGAGTTTCATGGCATCGTCAGTGCGTCCAGATGTGCCCACTTTTTAGAACCATTCTCTACAATTTACTCTGTGGCTCCTGCCCCTTCAAACTATTCTCTGACCAAGAGAACGAGTACGAAGCCTCCAGACCGGGGTCAATGAGAACATTCTCGACGTTGAATCAGAGCCGCCCAGGGTAACGGGTTTGGAGAGTGGTAGAGAGGGGGGAAGTCCGCTCGCAAGTCGAAGAGTCAGTCATGCATTCGTTGCTGAATACGAGGATATGTCTGAGCTGAATCCGATAAGTGAGGTGTTGTCCCCATGGGGGGCACAAGGATGATGCAGTGAGAACGAACTTCTCTTTAATGCCACCATCTTTCGCGGCTGCGGAGCCTTTAGTCGTCACACTGAGCGAACCGTCTGCGAAGGCCGATGAGGATGCTATCGTTATAGACGACTTAGCTCTGAGAGTGGAAGGAGTGCCCTAGGCAGCACCGACAAAGGCAGCATGATTGCGGAGATGAGAGAGCTGAGCTGGTCGTCGGGATTGCGCAGCATGCACTGGGGAACAGTTCTAGGTTGGAGACTGAAATACAAAGCCTCAGCCTTGTGCGTGCAGCCTTGTTTCTTTCTCCAAATGCCAAGAATGAGCTAACCTCTTGAGGAAGGAAATGATGCTGCCTTATCGACTCCTGGATGGAGGACTGGACAGAATCTACCGCTGCGACCCCCCTTTTCTTTCTAATCATCCGAGTCATAACAACCGAGGCTGTCAGAACAAAATAGTGAGTTCCATGTATATGTATCTGTGCAAGTCAGCTGAAGCTTGTCTCTATACTTGAAGCATAACGCGAGTCAAGCCAGCTATGTCGCTCCCATCCGCTGACATCCCCTTTGTTCGCACCCCGGAATCGAGGTTTCAAAACCTTCCCGACTTCCAATATGAACCAAAATACCTTCAATTTGGCGGTCTACGCATGGCTTATGTCGATGAGTGGTCGTGTGGCTCTCCCAGAGACCCACAAACAGAAACTGAGGTCGAAACATTCCTGCTGCTTCATGGCGAACCGACCTGGTCTTTCCTCTATCGGAAAATGATCCCCGTTTTCCTTCATCATACCACGAGGTCAAACATATCGCGACCTCGCCGCGTCATAGCACCTGACCTCTTCGGCTTTGGTCGTAGTGACAAGCCAACTCGAGAGGAGGATTATACTTTCAATTTCCATCGCGCGTCCCTGGTGAATTTCATCCAAACGTTGGATCTCAAAAACATCACCTTGGTGGTTCAGGACTGGGGTGGTCTACTTGGGCTGACTCTACCCATCGCCGATCCCGCCCGTTTCAAGCGTGCGATCGTCATGAACACGATGCTTGCGACGGGAGAAAAGGCAACTCCAGGCTTTGTCGCTTGGCGCGCTTGGACCAACAAGAACCCTGATATGGCAGTGGGAGCGCTGCTAGGACGGTCTTGTCCACAACTCAACGCGGCTGAAAAGGCTGCATACGATGCTCCTTTCCCCAATCGAGAGTCCAAAGCTGGGGTAAGACGATTCCCGAACATGGTGATGGTGAGTGACGGAGGCACGGAAGGTCTGGAGATATCCAAAGCGAGCCTGGCACTCTTTCGCGGGGGCGGAGTTTTTGAGCGGCCAGAAGATGTCGTTGTCATCTGCGGGATGAAAGACCCCGTGCTGGGACCACCGGTCATGAGTCAGATGTCCAAGATTTGGGGCAATGGTTGTCTCTACGCTGAGATACAAGATGCTGGGCATTTTGTGCAGGAATGGGGAGATCAAGTGGCAAAGATTGCACTTGCCGTCTTTCAGGGAACTGAAGTTAAAGCTGCGCGCAGGATCGTGCCCAGGGAGAAGATATGAGCTATCGAATCTTGCATGCCGCTGGTTGGGGCGGTATAACCGTATTAATTGTGGTAGCTTGACCTATCCCCGAGGGCTATCCATACGGAACAAACAAAATCAAATGGAGTATACGAAAACTTCAGCTTAAGCACTACTCGGAGTTTGATAAGTCTAGAGTTCTTTTACGGTTACAGGCGGCGTGGATAACCCTATAATCCCCCCCCCCAACCACCCATAGACTCCCGATATTCTCCCTACAAGACCGATTTCTATAATAGATAGTAGATAAGGTATAGGTATTTCTTGCTAGGGATCTTAACTAGACTCTAAGTATGAGGGAAGGAAAAGGGAGATTCCCTTAGGTGGTGAGTATACGGTACTGAAATAGTAAGGTGTTATCACGTGCGAGGTGTAATTAGCGATTCATGACTCTACTAAGGCTCAGAGATGTAGGAAGGTGGGCCGAGTAAGATTCAGTGACTCTACTACCAGGCCACTTTATGCCCTCCTGCTCGGGACCTACCTCTCCTCTCACCCTCTTGCACTCACGAGCCAATTATATCGAGCAATATATAATGTTGCTCGATCCGGTAATTACCTCCACTCGGCTTCGGCTGGGTCTGCGTTTTGGCCTTGCCATGTCTCCAAGGTCTCCAGACTCCCTGAGTTTGACGATAGGCTGGCTCCTCTATCATTGGAGACTCCGCGAAACTTACCTCTACGGACTCCACAGAAGGGACGGACAGCTTTCGTACTGCCGGAGGACAGGGAAATGTTTAACTTGACTCTTTCCCTACACATTACCCGACGTTGTGCCAACGATTAGCTGTCTAGTCCTCAAATCACCATGGCCACCTCAACCCCAAGGTCTCAAAAAACAGCAATAGTCACTGGTGCTGCACAGGGCATGTAAGTAGTCATGACAATCCCCACACACCGCGCCTTCTTGTCGTTGATCTTGACGTAGGGGACGCGCTATAGCTCTCCGATTATCCCGAGACGGATTTGATGTGTGTATCAACGACATCCCCGGCAAGAAAGATGCACTGGAAGAGGTACGGCTGATACATGGGTCGACCCATTCCATGACCACCCCAAACTCATACCCGGGCATCTAGGTCGCGAGATCGATCAGAGAGAACGGGAGGTGTCACGTTGCCACAGCAGACGTTTCCTCGCGGACTGCCGTTGAGAAAGTCGTGCAGGAATCGGTCGCGGCACTGGGTCCACTAAACGTCTTTGTTGCGAATGCCGGGATCGGCCAAGTCAAGCCTGTGCTCGATCTGACCGAGGATGATGTTCGAAGAACCTTTGAAATCAACACGTTTGGAGTATTCAATTGCTACACTTCGGCTGCGAAGCAGTTCATTGCCCAAGGAACGCCCGGAAAGATCATTGGAGCGTCCAGGTATATTTTCCTCACACATGTCGTTTAGAGACACTAATCAGGAGTTGCAATAGTATTCAGGCATACAAAGTGCTGCCACTGCTCGCACACTACTGTGCGTCCAAGCATGCCGTGCGAGGGCTGACGCAGGCGTTTGCGTTGGAATTGGCGCCTCACAAAATCACCGTCAATGCATATGCACCCGGCATTGTAGGAACGGGAATGCTTGACCAGATCGAGATAGAGATAAAAAAGATAAAAGGAATTGCTGGCGCCGAGGTCAGGAAGGCATGGACGGATCAGGTGCCCCTTGGGCGACTGGCCACTCCGGAAGATCAGGCAAATATCGTCAGTTTCCTGGCGGGTCCGGACAGCGATTACCTCACCGGTCAGAACATCATCTGTGACGGTGGGATTGTCATGAATTGACGGTACATGTTGCCGACCATCCAATCGATCTCTGGCCAAAAAGCCTTCTGATGAGTGTTTTCCGCAAATGATCGTACAGTCATGTAGATTCTTTTCCGCACATCGTCGATCAATTTATGCTGTAAGAAAATGCAGTAAATCAACCGTTGTCCCAGAGGGACAATGGTCTTATCAACTCGACTAACTCAGATTCTACTGAATTCGAACCCGCTGTAACCTGATGACTTGCAATCTTCCAGCTCCTTGCGATACTTGGGTACTCCAGTCATGTAATTCAGAGCTTCCCGAGGTTTACCAGGAATATTATCGCCGAAATACCAGCTCTTGGCCTCCGAAAACAGACCGGCGTCTCCCAGTTCGTTCACGTGTGTCTTCCAACGCATTTGTGCATCCAAAGTTGGCTCTACAGCTGAATAGCTCTCTTGGCGCATATGTAGGAGAAGGTCGACTATCCAAGGAGCTTGAGTTTCAATGGTCGTTGGTCCATTAGAGAAGCCCGTCGGTGCCTGGGGGCCGTAAGCGAAGAACAGGTTCGGAAAACCACGCGTACACAGGCCTAACCATGTGTGTACACCTTGAGCCCATTCCTCCTTGACCGAGGTTCCGTGAGATCCGCGGATGTCGATATTGGTCAGACCACCTGAAACCGAGTCGAAGCCGGTGGCCAGGACGAGGACATCCAGCCGGTGCTCAATGCCATCTTGGGTTCGGACGCCCTCTTGCGTCACTTCATCGATGGGGTTCTCAGTCAGGTCGATCAGGTCAACGTTGCTTTGGTTGAAGACTTCGAAATATGTCCGCTCAAGAGAAACACGTTTGGTCCCGAATGGATGAGGTGCCACTTTGGGGGCAAGCTTCTCGGCCATCCAGGGGTCTTTGATCCTTGAAATCGTTTTTTCCCTCCAGAAATCATACGAACTGTTGTTTGCAGACCTATCGAACACAATATCACGGTAGGAACCCATCCAGAAGTTAAAGCCTCCCTTATTCCACAAGGTCTCGTAGAAACGCAGTCTCTCGTCTTCAGGAACATCAAACGTCTTCTCCTTTGCAAAATCGAAGAGAAATCCGCAAAAGGTGTTCCGGCTGAGTTCAAGCGTTTTTGAGTATTCCTTTTTGATCCGCTGATTGGCATCGTGGTCCAAGACTTCCTGGTTCATAGGCAGAGCCGTGTTGGGGGTTCTCTGAAACACGGTGAGATGAGACACAATGGGACCCAACTCTTGTATGACCTGGACTCCGCTTGCGCCCGTTCCAATGACACCAACTCGCTTGTCCGTTAAGGAAATCTCGTGGGTGGGCCACGCGGCAGTGTGATATGCCTCGCCTTTGAACTGGGAGAGGCCCTTGATCGCTGGGATGTATGGTTTGGCCGCAAATCCGGTGCAAAAGATGATAAAGTTCGATCGTGCGCCAATGCCGTCGTCTGGTCCGGCGGTGATCGTCCATTTTCTCGTTCCGTTACACCAATGTGCAGAATTGACTCGGGCGTTGAACGAGATGTCGGGGCTAAGGTTCCAAACTCGATCGACATGCTTGAAGTAACGTTGAATCTCCTGCCAGCCAGGATATCGCTCGCTCCATTCCCAGTCTCTCCAAACTTCTTCAGATGCGAACTGGTATATTGGCACTTCCGAGTCAACACGGGCACCAGGATAACAGTTCCAGAACCACGTCCCTCCCAGACTGGCGCCTGCTTCGAAAAGATGGACAGAGAACCCTAGCTTCCTCAAACGGTGCAGAAGGTAAAGTCCTGCGAAGCCGGCCCCAACAATGAGGACGTCGTATGTCGAGCCTTGATCTAAAGAGCCCATTTGGAAATCGATTGGCAGCAGGATCGTCGCCCGCTACAATTGGGTACAAGATTCTTCACCTCTTGGAGATCGAAAACACACGTAAACTCCGCGCTTATGAATGCCTCTGCACCGATTCAATTCCTACCCTGTATCTCCTCTCGCCTCCTCTTCGCCGTCACTTCCTGCACAGACTATGTCGGGGGTTGGAGGGCATTGAACTAAGTGAATGGGTGGGCGTGGAGGTCGTGGAGGTCGGGGAGGCTGTGGAGGCTGTGGAGGTCGCGTGAACACTGTTGGAATGACCTCGGTACCGAGCACTCTCATGAGCGACTACCACCGCTTCATTGTTGAGACGTGATGAACGCGATATCCCTAGGTCGTTGAATTGTCGGTTCGATACTGGAGGGTTGTCGACAACATGGGCCGCTTCGATGGTAAAGTTGTCTTGGTCACGGGTGGTAGCAGTGGACTGGGGCTGGCATCAGCCGAACTATTCATCGGTGAAGGAGCTCTTGTTTACATCGTGGACTTGGACGAGAGAGGTGTCCTCACAAAATTGGGGCCGAATGCGCGTTTCCGCAAATGCGACGTCTCAAGCCCGGAAGACTGCGAAACTGCGATCGTGGCTTGTTTGGCGACATATGGACGGCTCGACGTGCTCTTTCACAATGCCGGAATCATCCACCCATTGTCAAAAGTGGCAGAGCTCCCTGTGGCAACATTTCGGCGCGTAACTGAAATCGACCTGAACTCGCTATTCTACTTGGCACGGGTGGCCATTCCACAATTCAAGCGCCAGGGCAAGGGTAATATTGTCACGACCGCGAGTACATCGGGGATCCGTGGGGATCGAGGCCTATGTGCGTATGGTGCTGCGAAGGCCGGGGTCATTAATCTCACGAGAATCATGGCCTTGGACCATGCAGAAGACGGCATCCGTGTCAATTGCGTCTGCCCAGGAAACATGGTTACTCCGATGACAGAAGGTTTCCGGCAAAACTTGGGGGCACATGAAGCTCTGGTCAACAGTATACCTATGAAGCGTGGAGGGGATCCTTTCGAGGTGGCCAAAGTAGTTTTATTTGTGGCCTCGGATGAAGCCTCATACATGACTGGTCAAGGTAGGAACTGATGCCTCTTGTGTCCCCGATCTCGTTCTGCAGCTGTGTGGCTAACCATCCTCAACAAATAGCTGTGATAGTGGACGGCGGATGGACCGCAGGGACGGGATGTCCTGATCTCCCGGCATTACTTCGTTAAGGAGCGGAGATGAAGAGCGGAGATAGCGCGCCCGGGGACAAATACTAAGCTACAAGGCCACCTAGGTCTCTCTCATCCCCAACCATGATTGCTACCATCGAATGAGGTCTGTGCTTCTGTTGGAGACGCTGCTGGTCCGGGGTACCCCGCCCCCAACCCCACCGTTCTTTTCTCATTTTCTTCAATCTGCACCTCCTTCAACTCCTCATCACTGCAGCGGCATTCAGCCTGGCGCATGGAGACATCCTTAACATCTAAGAAATCGCCTGTTTGCAGATTCTGCGGCAGGCGATTTGGTCGCTTCGAGCGCGTGCGCCGACACGAAAGGACACACACTAAAGAAACTCCTTTCAAGTGCTTCTGTGGGAAAGCATTCAGTCGGAGGTAAGTCACTGCGTGGTGCGCGGCAAGTTCTCGTCGCCAACCCCAGCTTCTTCTATAGGGATCTTCAGCGGCGCCACGAGAGGGCCGAGCATGAAAGCCGGTCTGTGGGTCATTCCAAACCCTAACATTATTCCGGCATGTGCGGGTGACCCCTACACATACTAAATCGCGCCAAGAAATAATCTAGGGTGTCATCTACACGGGGTGTCATCTACACACCTAAAATATTCTTAGTCATTCCACTTCACTCCACTCCCCGGTCAGATCGCGAAGATTACCATATTACTATAGTATTATCGAAAGTCGTAAATATTATCTTAGGGGTTTACTTAGCATACCGGAAAGCCCATCTTAGCTCAATTTCGAGTCGTCATCTCCATCGCGCGGGTCGTTCATTAACGAAAGGGTATCGGGGACCGCTGAAAATGACCGGCCGCGGCCCGTACTATAGCTACGACCGCTCTCTAAGTACGGTGTAGTTCTATACACCGAGCACTAATCGTACTTTACTCGCGGCAGTAATCTTTGAGAACACTTAAAGAGAAAGTACGCCTATCACGACGTCCGAGCGAGAGAAATTGAGGCGTAGCTAGCGACGTAAAATATCGCCGCTAAGGTGACCTACCCGCCCGATAATAGTCCGTTTATTCATAGGCTCTAGTTTTTCGAGAGCTAGTACTATAATATTGACTCTTATAAGGCTCGCTATATTAGTCGGTAGAATATATAACGATACTATAGTATAGAGTATAAGGTCGATAGCCGACGCCGGTAGGAGGAGAAGTAAATATATAAGAAAGTTATACTGTAGTGTCTTTTCGCCTAAGCCCCGACTAAACGGTATTATATTGTATAGAATAAGATCCCTAGCACCCCGAGGCGAGTAGTCCCCAATGCTCTCGGCGCCTCTAGCACTCCCATAATAGTACCTAGTACAGCTCGTAGTAGCACTATCCACCGTGCTAGCCAGCCTAGCCATAATGTGGCCTAGTCTCTAGCCGCTCGTTTCAGTAGCGCCATTTAAGAGGATAAGGCTCGCTATTAATAGCTCGGCGAACCCAACCATATCTCTAAAATCACCCTATAGCTCAGGAAGAGTTGTATACACTAGCACTTAGCTAGACTATCCGTCGAGATAATAGCTTAATCATATACTACGCCTAAGTCTAACAACGATAACCCGCGACTCTATAAGATTATCAGATCTGCCGAGCGAATACTCTAAAAGGTATACGACTTAGTACCGGATTTACTCTATATCGATATACGTATACTTAATATATTCTAGGCTAGCACTATTACCTAAGATCCATTCTAGATACTATAGAATAAGCTATCATTTTATAATTATATTACTGTTTTTCAAGCGTTACTTTATTACTATATCCGCGTCTTTGAAGGTCATTTCGATCGAGAGATATTTACCGTTACCGATATCTAGACGGAATCTTTAACTTTAGTATTAAGCGTCTCTTAGAGATTAGCGGGACTACGGGCGAAGGACTCTAACGATCTCGCTAGCGAGGTTACTAGGGAAGATACCCATTCTAACGCCGAATCCGAGAAGTCGATCGATCCGCTATTACTTAAACTCGACTATTATCTCTTTATTTTCTATACTACGCTTATCTAGTATAAGGTGACTAAAGTATACGATAGCGCTATTATCTCGTTTCTCGCGGTACGATCCGTCATCACCAGCTACGAAGATAATACTATCACATTCCGTCCCGAGACCTAGGTCGCCGGTTTACTAAGTAAGTTAATCTACTACTATTAGCTT